GCTTTTTTGGAGTTGGGAATTGATAGAATGGCACAAAGTCATATGTTGATGGGGGTAGAGAAATATGGCTAGATGTTCACCACTGCCTATATCAGTCTAATATGAATCTTGCGCAAGTGGGAGATTGAAAGATCTAGTATGCTCAAGAATCATATTAAAGTGATATTGCTAATTAACATATGATATTAATGGGTCACACCAACAACAACTTGACACAATTAATTATCTATTGGAAATTGATTTTAACAAATTTTCAAGAAACTCTTATAATTAATTGGAAATAATTTATTTCATGCAAATATTAATTTTCAATGGAAAGTAACATAATATATAATATGGTATGATTTATTAAGTCATATACAACCTTTTTGACTAGACACACTATTGTCTTTTGTCTAAAGAAATGAGGTTTTATATATTATAAAACTTGAAGAGACTTTTATACTTTTTGTCCTCTTCCTTGGCCTCAAAATCGTAGATATGGAGTGATAAGAGACAAGATTTCATTCACATTAGTTTATTGTAGGATACCTGCTTTAGTTGCATTTCTTAAAATAATAATAAACAATAGGGATAGAGGTATCGTGCATTAAGAACTCTTGAGTAATGTCTTTGATTTAGGAAGGCTTTCACTACTTCCTCTTCAAAAATGCAAAATCCAAAACATGCATATGTGTATGTATTTTCTCTCATATTTTGTTCATGACTGCAGATTAATTGCTTATTCTTATACTCTCTTGTAGTTAATATTGGTTAAGAGCTTAAAGATTAAGAGTAATGAATTTTAGACTAGCATCCACATCAAGTTGGCTGTTTGTTGGTGTGTCTAAATTTCATCATTCTTCATCAACTTCCAAGCCTCCTAAGAGGATCCAAAGAACTAGAAAGGTTGTTATTTGTTCTTCTTCTTCTTTGGTTGTGTTTGTTATCTTTCCAAACTTTTCAAGAAGATCATTGGTGGGTTAAACTTCATTATGTTATTAAAAAATGATCAAGTCTTCCGTTGTCAAATATAATGTTTTTTAAACTAGTTTTGAAAACCCAACACTATGCATGTAATAATAGACGATGTCATTATCATATACGTATGAATTTTGAGAAGCTTAAAATCTTATCATATATATATATATATATATATATATATATATATGTATATATATGTGTATATATATATATATATATATATATATATATATATATATATATATATATATTTACACGCACACGTATATATACACACATGATTTGTTGGTCTCACCAGCTTTGAAGGTTCGTTTGATCGGATACAAACAAGATTTAATGAAAAACAAAAGAATAGGAAGATTATCACAAACATGATTTTTACTTAGAAAAGTTCTCACCAGGTGAATGGGTGCACAAAGAAATTGGAACAAAGCCGTCACAAAGACCTTATTAGGGTTTTATCCTGACACATGATTATATACCACTACTAGAAAAACAGCCTTTTACGACGCTCATTGCGCGTCGTAAAGGGCTCAGACGACGCGCAAATGCGCGTCAAGGAAGGCCATGTCATAAAGAGAGACGACGCGCTTTTGCGCGTCGTCTATAGACGACACGCATTTACGACGCTCATTTACGACGCGCAATTGCGACGCACGTTTACGACATGCAATGCGTATCAAGAAAGGCCATGTCATAACGGAAGACGACACGCATTTGCGTATCGTAACCTTACGACGCACGTGTTAATGACACGCAATGCGTATCAAGAAATCCCCTGTCAAGAAAGGCCATGTCATAAATGCAAATGACACACATTTTTGCGTATCATAATTTTAACTATTTAAAAAAAATTATTTGTAGATTTACTAATTTTCAAATTAAATTTCCATTTCATGTATCATAATAAAAAATAAAATACCATATACAAAAAAGATAATATATTGCACAAAAGTTAATGTCACAAATAATCATTCCAATAGTAGACAAATGGATATCAAAGGGATCAAAAATATGTTTGTCTTCTAATAGAACTTATACACAAGAAAGTACTGAATTTGCTATTGAATTTATATGCAAGAAGAAGGTGTTTGACTTCAGAAAATGTCCCAGCAACTTAATTGGCCCTGGAAGCTTGTGGTTTGACTGCAACTAAGATAAGGATACCTTGTTTACTCTTCTTAAGCTTACTAAACAAACATGACAATAAGATAATATAAAACTGAATTATTATTAAGATTAAGCAACAAATGCACTCAAGCTATACAATAAGATAATTGGGTAGATTTTTGAAAGTACAATGTTCTAATAAGAAAAAATGAAATTAGGATGTTTTAAACTTGTAATAAATAAATAAATCAATGAAAGTGCATTGTTACTTTATGAATCTAACCCTAAAAAAAGCTATAGAACTGAGGAGGTGAAGTTTACCACAACTTTATTTTGTAGCATGAATGTCCCCGTTATGATGGATACCTGTTGATGACAAGAAACCAAATTATCAAGATAAAAATACTTATAACATTTCTTGCATGTTGCATTAATATGTGCAAATATTATCTTATATTAAGTAATTAACTAATAGTAGCATGCAATTAATGAAGTAGACAGATCTAGTCCCTGAAAAACTTACATATAAAACATTCTTTATAATAGATGCACAATTTAAAGTCAACGAGAGAGCAAATCCAGTCAACATGGCTATGAATGGATAACTCGTGAGTAGTGGTATAGACACAACCTACACAAAACATATTCAAGACCTCACTTAACAACCAAACATCCCATTTTTCAAGATTCATATATAAAAAAAAAATTCTCTCATGCAAAATCAATAATTACATAAAAAATGAATAATTAGATTAAACAAATGGTAAAAGAAAAACTAAATTAAAGAAAAATTGCTTACTCCTGCAATACGAGCTATTACTATAGGGCCAAATATCCTTTCCAGAAATGGATACAATGTGAACTGGAAGTGTAAATCATATTCATACCTGTTTATAACCAGGGAGCACCTATGAAACATCATTATGTAGCTCCTCGCCTCTAATTTCCTGCAAGTGTAAATCAAAATAATAAGCTAAATTGTAAATATGCATCAAGCCAAGGGCAAAAGGTGGAATTTTTAATACCTGACTTAGGAGAGATAAGTGGGCTGTGATCAACACCTTGGGCTCACAAAATACTAAGCGCACTGTGGAGTTGATGGGTAACTTTTCTAACTCAAGCCCAAGTTTTACTGAATCAACTCTGACTTTGGTCAAACAGGGATTATACCTACCTTATATTCACATAAGTTTAATCCAACCAACGACACAATTGGCGCTAATTCCTCTTCGCACCTCTGTTTCTCTTCTGCCGATCGAACGTCAATTGGCCACCTCTTACTCAACCATGATACCCAGCTCCTCAAGGTTGGAGGCGTTGGCTTATCCTAATATCGTCTTCAAAACCCTAGGGTTCAATTTTGGATCCTCTGTCATCCAAACCGAGTTATTGAGCATTCTTGTTGATTCACCTGGGCACATTGGCTCTTCTACTGATATTAATGTTGTCTTATGTATCGGATATGGTGTATTAGCTACTGTTGATTTCAATAAATATGATAGTGTCATGGAAAAAAATTCTGTCTCCAAAACTGTGGAGAAATATTTCATCTTTTTGTGACTGTTAACAAAAGTGACAAGTATTTCTCTAAATATCTGGTGCATGGAGCATACTTCACATTTCAAAAGGTTACTGAAGATTCTAATGTCACCTTATCCAAACATCAGGACCCCCTGGGTGATGTTATGGTTCCCCAAGAAAGAGTGCAGGGGAATTGGTGTATGCTTGCTGGAATCAAAATACAGGAAAAAGGTCTTGAACAGGTTACAATTACAGTTGGTTATGATGATCTTGGTGGAAGTAATGTCATTACTGGTGAGAACAAGAAGAGTATGGAGAGCTCTTGGATCCTGGAGAATTTGAAGAAGAAAGGGATTGATGAAGAGATAGATAAAGAAATACTTGTTATTGCTAAAAAGGGAAAAGATGTTAGCAAAGATTTGATGTTAAAGTTGTTGCCAAATAAGTTTCCTGGGGCAAATGGAAGTGGAAGTGAAGTTACTTATGGTGAGCTTTATCGGCTGGAAGAGTTCCTGTTGTGCCCCCTTAAGGTTTTAGATGATTCAGGTGATGGTTTTACTAAAGGAATTGAAGCTGAATTAGCAAGTTTACATAGCAAGGGCTTTAATGCATCAGTTACTTCTGGTGGATATGGATGGTACATCACCTTAGATCCTAATGAGAATGGTTGGGAAGTTGTGAAAAAAGGTGGGAATGCACAAGTCATTGGTGAAGTCCCACATAAATTCAAGAATGTTTTTGAGGTGGTGAGGATACCAAGCGAGGGTCCCAGTTTTCATTACCAATACTTCTCCTCAAGTGTAATGAGTAATAAAAATGGGAAGGTTGATAAAGTTATCAAGATGATCTTAGAGGAATTGGAGCCAGTGATTGTAGGGCAAGCCACCAAACAAGGGTTCGAACTTGAAGAGATGGAAGGAGAACAACAGCAACAGGAGTCACTTAAGAAGAAGTCAGAGGAGATTTTGGTCTATTCTCTTAAGTTATTGATGTTACACGTGAAGTTTGAGTTGTTTCAGGTTTACCTTTCATTTTGGCAACTACACTTGAATAGGAATGCAAGGACGAACCATTCTTTCCTTCACCTTGAGGACAAGGTGAAAGATTGGGCCGTTGGTATTGATAAGCCCCAACATTTCTGTTATCTTTTTGGCTAGGGGTAGGATGGTTTTTTCTGGTATTATGGCTGTTTTGTTATGTCAAGAGCACTAACTTTGTCCCAGGACTGTTTTAGGGGACCAGTCCCTAGAGTTTTTTGTTTAGCAGCTAAGAATTATTATGAATTTCACTTTGTTCTTTCTTGGAGGTACCCACATCTCGAAAGCTGGGAATTATCTTAATATTATCACGTAATTGAATCAGGGGTTAAAATGCCTGGAGTTTATGATAGATTCAACAAGGATCTATCAGTGGCTTGGGATTAAAGGACTTACAACAAATCTTGTAAGAGCATAAATGAAAAGTGCAGTGTTGTAAACTGTAATAGAAAGAAATAAAAGTAAAATGTTTTCACAATAAGCAAATACATAAAAGTACGTTGTTATTTCTTGTAAACTGTAATATACCTGGAAAGTGAATATGACCTGGAAAGTGAATATCATCTTCTGTCGCATTCTCCAACATGATGAACTCAATGATATTAATAAATGGGGGATCATTTCTTGGGTTGACAATGACTGGAATATCCAAATCATGCTTCCCATGCTTGTTCATGGTGGTAATCCTAATAGTATCTTCACCACTGAAGTTCCCCTCCCTGATTTATAAATATCATATAATATTAAGAGGTTAAAACTCAAAAGTAAAGGGAAAGTAGTTAAAAAAATTGGTAGAATTTTGAGTACCCGACGTATCTAGGGTTTGCTCACACAGTTGAACCACCTCTTTATGCTTCCCCAGCTGTGTAATAAGTAGGGGCAAATCAGTCAATTTCAATTATTAAACTAACAAAGATTATGAATCACATTCACATACCATGAGAAGAGCCTCTCCTTTCATATTAAGTAGTTTCTCTGAATAGGAGCTTATTGACCTTCATGAAATTGGGATCTAATGCAGCAGCCATTCTACAGTCGTTTAAACATTTTTCCTCATTCTTCCAAGAGCCATGCGTATAGTTGCACGATTGATATAATAGAAAATAAGAGGCTGTATACAAACGCCAGGTGTCTTTGTATGTTGTATTGAACTAATACCCTTTGAATAACATACTTCAGCTTCTGATAAATCTCCACTCTTATAAACCTCGTTTCCCCTGCACAAATCAATTTATTTCAGAAATCAAAACCATATTAGGTTTATACAAATGTAAAATATCAAAAAAAAGGGGGGGAATAAAACAACACCTTTTTCGCCAACTGTCACATGTTTCTTGAGCTGTAGCCTTTGTGTGCACCCTGTTACCAGGTTTATGAAAATGGGACACATTAACACAGCCAGTTCTCAGCTTATACTTCTTCTGATGTGGCCGTTGTCTCACTGCCATGGCAGCACTAGCAAAAGATGTGACAGAAGGTGAATATATAGATTTTCATGTCAAAAAAAAAAAAAAACATACAAGAACAACTAGCGGATCACGAGTAACAGCATGGCGATTGATCATGTTAATAGGAAACATGTTCCCATCTCTATCTATTGTGTTCACTAGAGTCTCATCTCCATCCAGGCATATTTGAGCAACATCAAGTCCAGCCTTCACCAAACCACCCTATAAATAAACATATATATATGTAAATACTAGTAAATAGTCAAACAAAAGTTTACTAAAGTCAACTTTAGGCTACTTACTGGATTGTTTCAGAGATCCAAAATGTAAGATTCAACACCCTGATTTTCAAATTCACGAATGGCGTGTTTTATATCGTTAGCAGCACTCTGTTTACAAAAGCTTGTTGTTAGATGAATTTAAGATATGAAGTTATAAAGTAATACTAAGATTTAGAGAATTAATAAGCACCTGGGAGAAGGCTAATAGCTTTACATATCCGGTTTTGGATACATGACCATTTGGTGTTCTATGAGGAATGATGACACTTAATATAGGAGAAAGTCTGATGAATTCCCGGGGTAGTTTCACCTCTCTAAAACTAGAGTCAATGGCCAACTTTTTTCCATGTAGATCAGAAATATGAACATGCACAAATTTCTATAAAACCCTTTGGAAAGGAATCAACCATTCCATTCCTTCCTACCAAACTTAAATGTAAGAAACTTACATTGTGCACTTTGACTGTAACACTTGTCCCAACATAACCTCTAAGCCTTTGTGCAGCAGCTTCACCACTAATCCCTTTAACTCTCTCTCCATTTATTTCAATCAACTCATCTCCTACATGTATTCCAGCTCTAGCAGCTGGGCTACCCTCAACACAGGACAATAAAACCTGAAACAAAAAATTTTAAATTTTTAAAAATAAAAAATAAATAAGAATCCATAACTGAGGTCTCAGGTTCAAGTCTCAGCATCACAAACCAGATGCCCGGTTTCTGGTTCAGTATTCACAAATAGTCCAACTCCTTGTACGTTTCCATCACTTCCAATTCTAAAACTTTGGTATTCCTGTACAAATCATTGCCGAAAAGAAAATAGAGTAAGTTCCCCCTTTTGGAATCTAGGAGTAAGAATAAGTTACAAAAATGGTTCCTGTTGTTTCTGAATTTTAGTCCAAAACTGAAAACTCTTTTAGAAACCACAGGGACAATTTTTGTAAAAGTAATGGGAAAAGTTGCACCTTTGAACTGATAATGCGAGTGAAGCGATCTTCAAGAGTAGAAAGCATTCCTTTAATCTTGCTGTATGCGGCATCAGCTGTTCTAAGTGGATGCATTTCCACCATTGTTTGCTGGAGTTTCGAGTCCCAGTCTACAGAAAACACATAAAATTACGTTAAACTTATTGACACTAAATGACATAAAACAACAGAAATGAATCGTACCTTGATGATTAAAAGTTGGATCAGCAAAAGTCTCTCTGATCAAACCCCAAGTCTCTACGAGAGTTCGTTGCACAACATTCACCTGTTACGAAATCAAATTTTACCAAACCCATATAAGCAATAGATTGAACACCTTATCTGCACAACCCAAACAAACTACTAAAAAAGATGATCGAACTGAACACCTACCTCATGCGTATGAGAAGCTGGGAATGCTATTGTCAAGGACTCGGCAAGAGCTGGCGAATCCAAAACAAACAGAGACTGCAGCAGCGAGCCTGATCAAACCTTTAGCGATTGAATCAATCAATTTCTTATTGGATTCAACTGATTCATTCGAATTTTCCTTGGGTAAAGCTTGAGGTGGTGTTGGTACTTTACACTTGCTATGGTAACCATTGAAACTGGAAGAAGATAATCGATACTTATAGGGAAAAGTTGAAGAGGTTGGTGTTTGAGGGGTTTTGGTGTAAATTGATGAAAGGGGTGAAGAATTACTAAGATCGAGATTAGGTTGGCGTAGAGCATCCATGGTAGATACTCTAACTGGGGGATTTAGGGGGTTTGTAGATCGTAATCAAGATGAAGGGATTTATGGGGAATGAATGAACAAGTGTAATGGTTGGATTTAGGGGGATTTATGGTAATCCCTAAAAATCGGACCCAAAAATCTCTATATCGGGTTTACAAATGCACAAACCACGCTTTTTCCTGGTTCAGAAAACCAGAAGGGTGATTAGGGTTTTCTAGAGAGAGAGAGAGAGAGGGAATGCAGAGGTAGAGAGAATGCAGAGCTAGAGACTTAACCCAACATTTATTATACCTGGTAGAGAAGATATAAGGAGGTTTGCTAATCCCTGTCGCAACCATTAATCTTTGTATCCTCACACAGTCACACAGGGAGCAATGATCGATCTCAGAATTCTCACAGGTCTCATCAATCTGGCCCCTCAACCAAGAAGAAATCCGATACTGATAAGAAGAAACGAGGCCTCACAGCGAAACCCTAAGGTTTTTTGAATGTTTCTTGATTTTACATAACAAGATAAAAACAAGCATGGTGTGGACTCACAAGTAAGGATTTAGAGGGGTGAATAAGAGGCTGAGATCATAGAAGCGAAGAATAAAGAAAGGGCAGAGATAGTTAGAGACAACAAGGGATGGCGGCATACGACAACGACAAACTTCATCATCTTCTTCCACTGCCTGGCGGTGTTCGATTCGCGGCGATGACGTGATTAGGGCAAGAGGGAAACAACCATCGAAATAGAGAAACAAAAGGGCAGAGTTGATTGTGAAGATAAAGAAAAGAAGGTAGAAAAGAAAGGCGGGTTTGCAAAATTTTATAGTTTCGTTTCCCCCGTTATCTTCTCAAGGCGTGTTTCCTTAAAATTATAAAGCGACACCTACAGAAGACGCACGTTTAAGATAAAGCGCCCTCCGTGTTTTTAGTTTTTTTTTCTTGAGACACTAATTTAGAGGCACACAAAAATGCGTGTCCACTATCCTTCAAATTTTGGAAGTCTGACATTATTTTTAAGGACGCCCAAAAATGGGTAACGTGAATCCGTGAGTGTCATTGTTTGCGCGTCATTAAAGGCTATTTTTCTTGTAGTGTACTAATCTGTTCTAGAGAAACCCTTCAATCATGGGATTGATTCTAATCTATTCAAAATATGAAAACTGATCATTATCACCAAGATATCATATCAGATATCTAAAATACAATATAATACTATAATTACATACAACATAAATGCAATTGTACGTAATGTCACATGTTAGCGTTGGTACTTGAAGCCTTGTGTTGATGTTGTCATTGCACTGGTGGTTAGCGTGTAAGAGTATTTCAACTCACTAGATCATATGGATTAACCTTACTATCTCATTTATCTAGTGATGTCAAAACCTAATTTCGAAAACCTTGCTTCCAACTTTAGTTCTCCCTAAGATGAGAAATCCCCCCCCCCCCCCCCGACTTAAGAAATGAATACTTTCTTGAATCCTGGAAATAATCTTCTTCTTTCAAGAGAGTCTGCTATTATATGAATGATCAAGTGACAACATAGTAGAACTAAACTCATTATTCCCCCATTTTAGCATCATCAGAATGCCTAAATTATGATGATTGTAGACGTAACATTAAGTTTTGACATGTTTCTTATTTCAGGATTGTGGATTGTAATTCAATCTTGTGAAGGCCTTAGGATTCAAGGAAATAGATTTTAGACCCTACCGAATGTTGATAATGTTGGTTATGTGATCTAAGCTGTAACATCCCAGAAATATAGTCCAAAAAATTTGTTTTAAATCGTTAAAGAAAAACCCATAACTTATAAAATAACATAATAACATCACATGTCGTGTATCTCAAACATCATATCAAAGTATTGTGTCAAATCCATGTATCAAAATATTAGAGTCTAAAATATCTCAGGCTGAAAATTGTAGTGTGTACCATGCAATCATCCCGAGCTCTTTCCCTTGCTACCTGAAGTACCTGAAACAAAAAATGAAACCGTAAGCATGAAGCTTAGTGAGTCTCCCCAAACTACCATATACCATACACATAAGCATATACTTCAAACATTGGGCCTAGCCTACTACATCAGACCCCGCTCAGAATCAGGCGAATGCGGCATCAGGCCCCGCCAGAATCGTACAAATGCTAGTACATAACAATCAAACACAACGCTATAACTGCTAATCTCAAGGCCCCACCCCAACTCTGCTAAGAATTAGATATGGAACCTCATCCACACTCAGCTAGTGATGGGATACGGGTCCTCGCCCACACTCACCTCCTTACCAGGAACATTCAAGTATCATAAAGACAATAAGTATAACTAAACATGCATTCCTTCCTCGGGCCCCGCCCAACATCAGACTGAAGTCTGGGAAACTTAACCTTCCTCGGGCTTGCCCCAAAATCGGATCGAAGTCCGGAAACATACAATCTACATCGAGCTAACCCCGACATCGGACCTAAGTCTAGAACACATAACATATAAACTACATCGGGCTAACCCCGACATCGGGCCTATGTCCAGACTATGCTAACATACATAAATGGCCCGAGATTTGTGGCTTCAACCCATTCCTACTGGAGGAAAACTCACCTTGCACTGCTGAAGTCCTGCTGTCACTTCTCTGGCTGCTATCTTGCAATTCTCCGAACTGCTGCTCCTTCGGCTCCCTGAGCTATCAGTACCAAAATAACACTTAGTCCCAAAATACCCTCAAAAGTAACACTAGGCCAACCTAGGTCAAAGTTGAAGTCAATGCTCCGAGTTGACTCAACTCGCTGAGTTTCTCCTTCAACTCGCCGAGTTCCTCCTTCAACTCGCCGAGTTCCATAAATCAGAATCCTAAAAGCGTGATCCAGGTCGTCTAATCAATCCATGAGTCGCTGAGTTTGCTGGCTACTCATGGTCACATTTTATCGGATCAACTCATCGAGTTAATCCTCAGACTCATCGAGTTCTAGCATGAACAGAAACGGGGCAACTCACTGCGACTCATCGAGTCCCTCCCTAGACTCGCTGAGTCCCTCAATAATTTTGGGCCATCTTAACAGATTAAGCCTTATACACTTCAGATCTACACTCCAAACTCCTTTTACACTCTAGAAACATTACTAGAGGGGTAAAGTTTCCAACTTTCCCCGTCAATACCTTTCCTTCAAGGGTTTAGCTCAAACCCTAACTCCTTAAGACATAGATTCTCGTCGAAAAGCCATAGTATTGCAAACTAAGGTGTACTAACATAGATCTAGGCCTTAGACATTGATTGCTCACATAAATTCTCTGCCTTTTCTTCCATGCATGACCTTTTGGGGCTTAAAATTCCATAATAACTCCTTAAGGATTGCATGAGGGTTCCAATGGCATACTATTTGCACCTATATGCGATAATAACCCTTAATGATCCCAGATTTGATGGAATCCTTGCTTGGGTCTTCCAAATCCCAAAATCTATCATTCTTGGACCATAAACCTTCATAAAAGAAAAAGGAAGAGATCTAGTGAACTAATGGACAAGATAGAAAATTGATAACCAGAAAATGATGGAAATGAGGTGATGTGGCCAGATATACTAGCTCCTGCTTCCTTCCCCAAGATCCTCATTCATCCTTAAGGTTCAAAGCACTCAAGAACACTCAATAATGGCTCACTATAGCATTAGGGTTCGAGATCTAAGATTTGGAAAATGGAGGATGGAAATGGGGTGGAAATGATGGGATTAAGATCCTTAAATAGAGTACAAAAACCTGGATTTAGGGTTTCCCAAACCCATACCAACTCGTCGAGAAGGTTCTTACCGACTCGTCGAGTGGGTCCTTCTTCCCGTGTCACAATCTTGCTTCTACTCGTTGAGTTATCCTCCTTGGAATAGATGAATAGACCTTCCTGACTTGGGGTTTCCTTTCCTTATTTAGCCTTCTATATTTCAAGTGTTACAATTATCCCCCACTTACACTAGAATTCATCTTCAAAGTCCGTTACGGTCTCCTACCCCACAAATAACTCCCAACCAACTATATGATGCATAACTTCATCTGCTCGGTCCAATCCTCGAAGGGACCACTTCTTTTGGCCTTTCATCTAATGTTCCTGAGCGAAATACTAATCCTTGGAGGTAAAATCTTTAGAACACTTCTACCACTATGATTCCTGCGCGTATTACTCTCACCACAACCGACAATCCTTCCGGTACTCCTTAAGTGCTCGCACTTGACATTTCTATTGGGTTTTGTCTGATTTAACATTCCTATGGTGCACATATAACCCTAATGCTTTGGATCTAATTTTTCTCTAATTATGTTGCTAAGTTCGTGGGGTAGGTTGAATTTGTAAGCTACTGGGCCAATTCTAGCGAGAATCTCGAAAGGCCGTATGTATCTTGGATTGAGCTTCCCATGCCTTCTAAAGCGTATCAAGCCTTTACAAGGTGAGACTTTCAAAAGAACGTGGTCTCCCACCTGGAATTCCAAAGGTTTCCTTCGTTTGTCTGCATAGCTTTTCTATCGGTCTCTAGAGGGTTTCAATCGTTCACAAATCTGAATGATCTTCTCTGTCGTTTCCCGAATGATCTCCGGACCTGTAAGAGTGCTGTCAGGAACTTGTCCTTTAGCTAGCTGGGTGTCACCCACCTCAGTCCAACACAGAGGAGATCTGCACTTCCGGCCATTGAGGGCCTCAAATGGAGCAACCTTTATGCTCATGTGATAACTGTTGTTGTAGGAAAATTTGACAAGGGGTAAATGAGTATCACATGCCTTCCCATAGTTGATCACACAGGCTCGCAACTTATCTTCCAAGGTTTGGATAGTTCTCTCACTTTGTCCATCAGTCTGAGGATGGTAGGTTGTACTCATGTCTAGCCTCGTCCCTAGGGAACTTTGTAGTGACTTCCAGAACCTCGAAGTGAATCTACTATCTCTATCGGAGATAATAGATATAGGAACACATGCATTTGTACAATCTCCCGAATGTATGTTCTTCTAAGCTTTTCCATCTTTTCAGTTTCTTT